GTTTTATGAAAATAATCTCTAACGAGTGTCAATAATTGTACATGTTACGCTATTTTTTCAAAAATATAAAACAAAAATTATTAAAATTTTGGATGAAATTCAAATTCACTTAAATTTTTTTATAAAATTACGCATAAATATGCCATTGCATACTTTTAGGTGTAATCGTATAACCTAAAAGTATGCAATTTTTGTAAATAATGTACCAAGAAATTTGAAATGTACAAGAAAGTGTAGTACCTAAGCTACATGTATGTTAGAGAAAAAAATTATTCTTTCAAAAATGAAGATTTTTTTAATGCCTATTTATATTTGCGCATTAAACTATTGCGTACTGAAATCTTGTTAAATTTAGAAATTGTACGTGTTATATTCTCATTTATTTATGCTACGTACTAAAATTCTTAATCTCCTAGAATTCTAGTAATTTTTAGTTTTCAAATCCAATAAATTTCAATATTAGAATAATATTTTATTAAATTAAAGAATAATAGAAGAACACACTTTCTATTCTGTTATACAAAATATAGTGTTTGTGTACAATGCAATTCGGTATCTGTGTGATAATATTATTTTCAATTTAATTATAAAAACAATACGCGTTAACTGTGTATGTATAAAAGTATAAAATAGAGGAGAAGTTGTAATAAAAATGCAATTTACTAGCCATTGGCCTTTTATTGATTTGATATTGTTTTTTTATTATTTTGTTTGTTTATTAATATTCTTGTTATATACCTAGATACATATGCATATATAGTAATATTAATTCCGAACAATTTGAAAATTTTTAATAGCTTTGCGCAAGCATTTATACTTAAACATACATACGTACATACGTACAAATTTTTAAATATTTTATTTCATTTATTTGAGTTCATTTTGCGCGTTTTATTTTATTTTTGTTTTTTATATTTTTCTATTAGCACTGAAGTGTCTATTGTTGACCTTGACATAAATTCGAAGATCCTACATTATTAGTTTATTAAATTGTACTTATTTCTATATGCATTTCTATATATGTACAAATGTATGTATATATATATAATTCGATTTATTGGAATACAAAATAAAACTATAACTGTTGTCATTTTAATTCTAATTGAATTAATAGTGACGCGATTGAATTTAAAATTTAATCATTCGGAAAGTGTTGAAATTTAAAGTGCAAAATTATTGAACGTTTTTTTCTTTATTGCTTTGTTTTTATTCTAATTGTGGGATTGAATTTTTTTAATATTATACAAACATGTTATAAATATTAATATATATATGTATATGTATACAAATATATTGTGTGTTTAAATACTTCGTTGAATTGATTTTTATTTTTGAATGGTTTAATGACGAATTCAAAGAAGGTTTAATGCAAATGTGCATGTATGTATGTATTAGAGAATATAAGAAAAAAAAATTAATTTATTATTTTAAATTAGTTATGGGTTATGAACAGATAATGCCGCCTTGTAATATGGAAGTTATAAATGTAGAGAAAAAAAAGTTTTTTTATGAAAAATGTGAATTTTGTTTTGGAAAGGAAAAGGTTTCAATTTCAGTGACAATCCAGTATTATTTTCAATCCACTCGTTTGCAATCCAGTATGTAGCATAAAATGTATTTTAATGTGCCTTTTGTCATTTTTGAATAACATATACATAAATAAAGACACCAATAATGATTATATCAGCTGTATATGATATTATAAATATTGTAATAGAGCATTATTGTTTAACTATTCAACGGGAGAATAATTCATTCCATAGAAGCATATTATATATAGCATAATCTTATTACTAAATAAGAACTTAATGATAATATTATCAGGAATTTGGTATACCAACCATATATCCAGATTGGGTTCCTATAGGGCAATGCTTAATCCCATTAAAAATGTTTAATCTTTAGTAAAGAGTTATGTTGAAAAAAGGTTCTCTAAAAAGTTGTCAAGGATTCTTAATAGCAGAAACGGTTTTATATATAAGAGAACAGAGGGCTTTAGAAAGCGTATAGGGCAAATTAAATATCAAATTCACTTTTGTGAAATTTTACTTTATTTTATAATTTTTTTGAATATTTGACCATTCACGTATGAGTTACCGAATATATGTGGGAATATGTACATAAAGAATTAATTTTGTTTTAGCTTGCGTAAAAAATATTTGATTTTTTTTTCCTGTTTTTCGATTATATACTTGGTTATTTCAAAATCTAAATTTACTTTGGTATTATCGTTTAAACAACAATTCAATTTCTTAATAGCATATATACTAAAAGATTGTGCAAGCTAACTTTAACGACTTAAATATTTCGTTATGTAAACATTTATTATGTTGATATACTCGTAATATATAGACAATCAAATTTAAAGCGACGGCCTGAGTTTTATCGTATTAATACGAAATATTTTCGATTTAATACGGTGTTTTTCCAATTTTGTTAAGTTAAATAGAATTCGATTTGGTCTTGTTATTCTTAACTTAATATTCGGCATGTCCAATAATATATATAGTGCATTGCCGTAGAAGTTTTGGTTGTTTTTAAGATTTTTTTAAAAAAATGTTTGTACCCTGAAATATTGCACAAATAACCAAAGAATAGTAAATATAAATAAATATAATATTCGGATATAAGTTAATAAATCAATTTGATTCAATTAATATTTACTCTATATTTAGTATTTTTTAATATTTACTCTATATGCATAGTGTTTTCTACTCTTTTATTATGTATACGAGTTAAATATTTAAACGTGCATGCTAATATTCACGATAAAAGGATTTTAAAGATTTCCCTTAAAGCTTTTATTATTACCAATAAAAACAAAATATATGAAATATATACATATCTACATACATTATACACTTATGCATTTTTGATTTCAATGTGAAGGTAAGTCTGACGAAAATAAATTTTATAATAACACATGAACACCAATTTATAGAAAACTTTGACATTGAATTTTAAAATAATTTGAAAGCTTTCTGATGAAAAAAAAAATGGTTTTCTTTTTGTTTTCCTTATTGAAATTTTCTAAATGACGTAATCATATTTCAGTATATAAATGTAAATATAAATTTACATAACTGAATGGCTAGATTTATAGAATAGATTTATAGACAGGATTGTTTTACTGGCCACTCTTTGTATTTATTTTTATTATTTATATACCTAGAACTATTAAAGAATATATGTATGTATGTGTTTACTAAAATTGAAAAAATATTTGTACTCGTATTCTGATATTTTACTTACATAACAAAATTTTATCTGAACAAAATTTGTTTAAATTTTGATATTAACTAATTGTGAAATTAACTATGATGGTAGTGGTAATGGCTATATGCGAGCTTGTATGACATTGATACAATGTACTGTTGTTTAAATTAATAATTAATATAAGTTTGAGAATTTGATATCATAACACATATTTCATATCTGAAAGAATGGATTGTTTTAGCTCAGCTTAGGGAAAAATATAAAAAATTGCCGCTTTTCAAAAAGGAAATATAGGAAGAGTAGGAAAATAATAAATTTATAAGAAAAGTTCTATGTATTTCAATAATTTTGCAGATGAAATAATTAATGACATTGTTCTACTTTTAAATGACATCTAGTTCTAAATTAGATCTTCGACAAATCCAAACTGCAAAATCTGCAAAAACAGCATGTTGGAAAATTTCTTTATAATTACTGCAAAAATATTGTATATTAGAAGAAGAGCATAATAGAAAAATTTTGGATATTGAAAAATTTACACTCGAGTATGTTTCAAATCTGCAAAAGTGAAATATTCTGCTTTCTGCAGATTTGTAAGTATGTGTGAACAGACTTTTAAGATTTAATTTAGAACTTTCAGTGCATATTCTGAATTATCAAAAATCCTAAATATTTATTTACTTTTTTTTCTGTTATTATTTGCAAAACAGACATTTTTTTTTAATTTCAGTCCATTTTATTTTTAATTTAAAACATCAAAAATTAAGCAAAGCAAAAGTAAAGTTCACATGTACTTATTAAACAATGAGAATTTGCGTCAAATTTTTATAGTTAATTTTCAATTTTTTTTTTGGGGTAAACCAAAACAGATAAGTGAGTTGCAAAGTGAGTAGAATTAGTAAAATATTCATATAGTAATGAACACTTTATTTATCAAAATCAACTTTTCCAAATTTTTTTAGTAAATTGGAAAGTAATGAAGTGACAATTTTTTAGTGCAATTGTGCCCCATTTGCATTCTGTCATTTTAGTTTGGGAGTACCTCGGAATCTCGGACATTTTATGAATACAAGTTTAAGTAAAATACATGGTTTAAAATTTACAAATTAATGAGCTCGGAATTTTCGAATTTTAACATTTTTTTTTAATTTGTTTATTTATCAAACGCAGAATATAAAAACACAAAAAAATAAAGAATTCAAATGATTTGCAACAAAATATTGTTTTGTTTTCTTTTTTATTTTTATTGTATATTTGTAATTATTATTAATATATTATTAATTTTATTATTATACTGTTATGATATTGTTATACTGTTATTATATTGTTATGAAAATTCTTATAAATTTACTATTATTTTTATTATTATGAGAATTATTTGACAAAAAACATATTTCACACAAAATTTTTAATAATAAATTTTAGAAAATTATTTTTATAAATTTTTTTATTTTACATACATATATACTATTTATTATATATAATTTAAATATACAAAATTTAATAAGAGGAAATAAAATTATAGTACAAAAACAATACTTTGTGTTTCAAAAACACTCATATAATTAATTACCTACATATTATGTAATACAAAATTAATTATTAAAATTAAAATAAAAATAAAAAAAATTTGTTTATTTTTTTTTTTTTTAATATTTACAAAGAAAGAATAAAATACATAATAAAATTTCTAATTTCTAAAAATTTATAAAATTTTTAACAACATTTTCTTTTTTAATTAATTTAAGAAAAAAAAAATTATTTTCTTCTACTTTTTTTTTCTTTCGTTTTCTCCATTTTCTTTTATTAAATTCTACATTTTATTAAAATAATTATTATACAATTGTACATGAACATATAAAATTATATATAAATATAATAATAATGTACATAATGTAATATTTTATTTAAAATTATATTAAATTGGCGCATCCTTAATATTATTGCAAAAAAAAAAATTATAATTAATTTTATAAAATAAATAAAAAATTCAAATAAAAAAAAAATAATATGTTACATAAATTAAAATTAAAATAATAAAAATTAAAAATTAAAAGAAAAATTTAAATTAAAAAACAGAATTATTTAATTTATTATTTAAATAATTTCATTTCCGTTTTATCCAACCAGCATTTCGGAATATTTTAAATATCATTTCACGTGGTATTTTTTCAGCAGCTCTATCAAATACTGGCATCTCTTGATTTGTAAACCATGATTCTTTAGCTAATGCTTCAGCTATTCTTGGATTTTTATAAAAACGATTCATATATTCTGGTGGTAACATTGATTCTCTATATGCATTTTCAACAACAGCTCTATGTGCTACCGAATGTATTTGTGGTGCAAATTGTTGTGGTTGACTTTGATAAAAGAATCTTGGCGGTGGCTGATGAAAATATAATTGACAAGATACTGTTGATATTAATGTTATAAATAATATTATAAAAAATTTCTTCATTTTTTCTTTTTCTTTTTTGTCTTCTTATTTTAAGTTGATAATTAGGATAAAGTGTATGTGTGTATGTGAGAGATCTAAAATGAGAAAACAAAAAAAAATTTAAATTAGAAAAAATTATAAAAATTATGCTTTTAATTTTCTGCTATTTGAAATGATTAATTTTTAACAAAATTAAAAATGAAACAGAAATTTCAAATAAATTTGAATTTAAAAAATAAAATAAGGAATACGGAACAGAATTAATTATATATGTAAGTAATTATACTCCCGACTCTTTGGTCACTCAATTACATGAACTTATCTTGAACAGGATTGTATAAAAAAATTTAGGATGAAAAGAAATCATCAATAAGTCTGACATAATTATAGGATTTTCTTTACAATTGCCAACCATAAAATAAATAACTGCAGAGTAAAGCGTTATACAAGTAAATACAAGTAAATACAGCAATTTACTTGGGTAAATGCACTATATGCTTAAATGGTATTTCTAGTTTCAGTGTTGCGAAAAGCAGAAGATATTTTATCAGTATTTGAAGTACATTTAAGATTTTTTGTTTAAATATGTATCTCGGTTAATGGCGTTTATCACTTTAGTACGTAAAAATTTTAGTACTTTCAATCAAAAATATATGCAAAATTTTTCTCGGTTTAAATTGATAAACTAAAAACAAAACCATATTTTTCAATAGTGACTTGTTTTTCCTCATTTTAGTCGGAAAAACACAGATATCTCTTAATTTACAATTTTCAAATTGTAAATTATTTCATTTCTATTAGACGTTTTAATTGAATTCATGCATTTCCAGATGTGCTCTGCATTTCATTTTTACAATTAACAGAATTATAAAGAATTAAAAAAATGATATCCATTTTTTTTTTTGATTTATTGCAGCAATCGTACGTTTAACCCTTTTCACTCCAATGTCGAGTGTCACTCGACACTGATTTTGTTCCACTAGCTACACTGTCGAGTGATACTCGACATGGTGTAATACCTGTCAAATGTAAAAATTTTATCGATACTACATAATAAAACTAGTTGCTATCGCACCGTTATATGTTCGCGTCCTAAACAACTTATCTCTGTGCTTCATCTGTTATAGCGTGGAGCTGGTGGAATAAAAAAAAAACAAGGATTTACTCCTTATGCGTGTGCACAGAAAAATTGAATTTTGCTAAGTTATAAAATTCATCATTTCAACATTATTTTGATAAAAGGCACATATATATATATATATATATATATATATATATATATATGTATATGTATGTAATATCTAATATAAAATATTGCAATAGTAATAAATTTAAAATGTGATTAAACTTTTTACAGCTTCCTCACGGTTTTGTTTTCTTATGAATAATCATCATATCTCTATTAAATTATATGAAAACTAAATTTTAATATTTTTTTTTCTATAAATAAAATATCCTATACACGTTTCCTTATAAATATTATTTTATTTTGATTGACTTTCAATTAATATCTCTAAGCTATATTAGAAAAATGTATATATACAGTTTTAGTTTAATTAAAATATTGTTGTAAGCAAGAGTTATTGTTTTATTACTCTATTATTATCAAAGATAATAAACTATAGCCATTGGATCTCTTCAGTACTATCTACTATTTTCCATACTATTTTGAAAATATTCACAAAAGATTTATGTAATTTCCATTTACTTGCAGCATAAATAATAATAAAAATAAAAAAAAAAATATTTATTTTTTGAATATAATTACAAAAAATTTCAATATTTTTGGATTTTTTTTTATTATTTTTTGCAATATTCAAATATATACATACATTTATTTATGTATATCTATACAGAGACGCAAATATACATACAAAAATCTTGTATATTCATAATTTTAGAAAAATCCGGAAACTTTTAAGGAAGTTTTTGTATTTATATTTTATATTTCTCTTTTACATTTTTATCTCTTCTTGGAAACTTTTTATTGCATCAACTTAATCAAGCGATGTATACAAGTCAACTATTCTCCAATTGCTTAATTATTTGTTGTTGTAATAATTAATATTTATGTACGTAAATTTTTTGTAATTTTTATAAGCTGCTTTTTGCATATATATATATACATCTTTGCAAATAAGAATTTAAATGGCCTTGACAGAATTACAAGCATACAAAATTCATTTAAAAAAAATAATTTTACAAAATATTTTTTTTGAACATTAATTTAAATAAATTCGAATCAAATCAATGGTTTTTAATGTAGCACTTTTCACTTAAACAAGAGAAAATACCTATAGCTATAGCTATTTATTTCTTTGCACACCAAAATATATCAAAATATTGCATACATTAAGGATGAGTAAAAAAAAATAAAGAAAAATTGAAAGAAGCGCTAAAATAATGATCGCATTTAACTGTCAATTGCGTAAATTAAGAAAAATAAAAGTTTATTTTTACAAAAATTTAGAGAAGCTTGTAATGTCGGTAACATAAGGCACCGAAAATTTAAATTTTACCAATTTTGAGAGGCGATAACTTTCGAGGGTTACATTTTGTTATTGTTATATTTGATTAAAAAGTTTCGTGTTAAAAAAAGCCAGTCGCTCGCTTCTTTTTCGCATTTGACATGATTTAAAAAATGTTTACTGGTTTCGATACAATAAGTAGTCAAAAGATGGCATTTTTACAGCTTTTGAGCGGTTATAATTTTTAGAGAAGAGGAGATAAGTTAAAATTTTCTTTTAGAGAAAATGAATTTTCATCTAAGAATTCTTTGTATATAATAATTTCAGCATTCTACCTTAAATGGTGTAGAAATTTTGTAAACAGATGCAAGGACGGATAGACATATAGCGCACCTAAAAAAAAATGCTAAAAATTAACTGCTACTTAAAATATTAAAATGATAATTTGAAATATTTTTAATCAGTTAAAATTTTCTAGCTTTGAATTGTTTATAACAATTTGTATAAATAATGCCAAAATAAAAATAAATAATAATAAAATATGATAAATTGTATATTTCCTTCAGGTTAACAAATGGTTAATTTTTTTTTTATTATTATTAAAAATTATGTAAAATTAAATTATGTAATTGTTTAGTTTAATGTTCAAAAATGAGAAACTCAGCTGTTCACTAAATATTAATATTTTGCGTGAATTGTTGTTTTTTTTTGTTAATTTTTGCAATAAAATTAAAATTAGTAATTACATATAAACGTGTATATTTTTTAGTGTATAGATATGTATTTATGTATTTAGCATTATATTTCACTCGCATGTACAATAAACTGTAGGTATATAATGTAAGTAGGTAGATAATGAAGAATCATGAAATTTTTGATGAGAAATTATTCTTAAATTATTGTTCTATGAATTTATGCAAATTTTAATACTGTTTGTGTGTTTTGTGTAATTTTTATACCGGATATACCGTGGTTTCCGAAATTATTTATCTCTGCTGAAAGGTAAATAATAATTTTTTAATATTATTTGTTTAGGTTTTTTAAGGTTTTTTTTTTTTCTACTTAATTGTGTGAACAAAATTTAGAGTCGCTGAATATTTTTTTTTGTTTTATACCTTGTTACTTCAATATTTTCAAGGCTACATATACGAACAACACATAATGCATGCTTGCGTCTTAAAAACATGTGAAAAATTTTAATTTTCATATATTTGGGTATAAAATACCGGATTTCAAAACGGATATAATTGGTATATGATTATTATTGTTAAATAACACTTACTTATAAGAATTTGTATGATAATTTGGGTAAAATTTTAATTTTATTGATTATAGTTTTTTAAGCGTTATTCCTTCTGCAGGTAGTATGGCTTGTTGCATAACTGGATTATAGATAAACGTATCAAATGTGTGTGACGTACATGTTCACATACAATTTTACAAATACATATTAATTATTTAATTAGGTCATGTGGTGTTACGTATGTATTCTGAGAATAAAGAAATCAAAGATTCTTTAAATTGCGGGAAAAAACTCATTTTTCATTTAATAAAAATGATAATGACGAATTAAAATTTTAAGAAGGTTTTTTCTCTTACCTAGACTATAATATGCATATGTCATAGACTTTATATAATTAAACAGTGTACTTAACAAAATTATGTAATTGTGACAAATTAGACCTCCGTGTATCTTTAAAAATTTAAGTATACAATATTCGTATGCTTACGAAAAGGGTTAATATTGTCCAAAATGTATTTACAGGCTATTTATTTTAATGTGCTTATTATTTATAAGTACCTTGTTTATCTTCAGAGACAATTAAGTACATACGTACATTTGTGACTTTAATAAATTTTTGTGATTCGGTCAAAAATTATTGTTCAAGTAATAATTGTATAATCTAAATCGTGTAATTACAAGAGGTTAACTGGTGTATCTCAAGAATAAGATTGTGTCATAAGTACATTTTGTATTCTGTGTAAAATGTTCATTAAATCTAAATCAAATAAGTAAAATGAAAAAAAATATGTAGTTTTGAAAAAAAATTTTCATAATTTCTAAATTTTAAACTAAATAATTATTGTTATACTACATTATAATGAAAAAAATTTTCAAAAATTTAATAAGATCAATGTCAAAGCATTGAATGAGAAAAATCCTTTAATAAAAATTGGAAAATATTTACGCAATTCATGCGTTTTTTTTTTTTTTACTCTATTGTTCGTACTTGAACTCAAGTTGAAATCAAAATATAATTATATATTGTAAAGATAATCTGTAATAATTCAATAAAATATTAAAAATATTATAATTACTTATTTAATTTTATATGTCGGAATGTACAATGAATTATTCATGGATAAATAATTTTTAAAAATATGTTAAACTTTAATTCAAATTATTGTTTACTGTAATTCGGCATTATCATGTTTAGTTCTTTTTTTATTTTAAATTGGAATTAGTTTCTTCTAGACAATATTATTTAAGTAATTCTGTTAAACATTCTATGTGATGAATTTCTATTGGAAAATTTAAGAAATTTTTAACCCTTAATTGATTGACGGTATTTTGACTTCAAATAAGCCATTATTTATAGCTTATATTTGCATAATTCATAATTTAT